TGTCTATACCTTCTGATACCTGGTGTCATACTCCTGTGTGCATCAGGAACATATTTCCGTGTTTGACTGTCTGTAATTGAAACTAAGAGCAAATGTAAGCTCTGAATAGACTCAATCACATCATTTTGGTCTGGCACTGTAAGCAGACTTCCATCTGARTGTTCCTAATGCTTCTCTGTTTCAAGAGCCTACAAGGATAGAGCTGACTCCCAAGAAGATTGAGTTGACAGTTGGAGAGAGCATCGTCCTCAGCTGCAGAGCCCTTCATGACAACACACTGGATGTGTCCTTCTACTGGACCCTCAATGGGCAGCCAATCGACTTTGAGAAGGAAGGTGGACACTTCGAAAGCATCAAGGCAGTAAGTGACCATGCATTTGTCATCTCTGTGCTGGGAACTGACAGAAATTTGCATGTTTTTGTATGCCTCCCATTTACCAAATTCTGACCAAACTGAGAGATAACTGGTSTGAGTAACAGTGGAAAGAAATGTTAGCTAGAGGAAGTGCAAATTGCAGATCATTAGAATTACTCCAAGTGGTTTTCATCAAGAAGATATTAAATGTAAACTTACACATCCTATTGTTATTAGTGGTGTATCTGATAACCTTTGTGAGGGAACAGGAAGGCATTTCCATTAAATCCTACTTTCATTCTTCTGCTGATTTTAATATAGAAAGGATGCTACTATAAGCACTGATGTCTTTCTCRCAGATAACATCAATCTTGAAATGYCCTCACCTCCCAATGCTTTGCTTGCCTAGCATATATTTTAATATCTGAATAGCAAGGGCTATGTTTACTCACTCCCCTTCATGAGGGACATCCTAACTGTGTAAACATTATTGAGACCAATAAGAATCACATGGACAAAAATGTACATACCAATTTCAAATATTGCCACTTGATTCAGAAAGTGTTTCATATGATGAAATGGTATGATAAAGTAATTCAAGCCTGTCATATATAAACTGGTTTCAACATTTGTTGGTAGAAAGAAATTTTTTATATGAATAGGTTTGGAAATAGTATCCACAGTTATTTAACTCAATCTTCCTGCTAATGAAATGYAAATCAAATGTCCATGCTATGTTAACAGAGAAAAATGAAGTTCACAAAGGTCAGGAAATTTTTAAACTTAATGTATCTCATTTGAGTACAATGTAGCAAAGTTAACTTTGCATTAAAAACCTTGTCAGCTCAAATCAATTTATTCTTCTAATTGCCTATATTGAAGTTATATTCTTTATGGAAGTCATATTCACTTGGTAGGGGGGGTTGTGTTTTTAAAATTTGAGTTTACTTCAATAAATCTTTTAACAGCATTAGTAATGTATATCTTAGTGTGAAGGCTCATTGCATAGTTATCTTCATCTGAGGAATAYAACACTCAAAACACAACATTATTTATATAAGAAGGAAAACTATCACTTCCTTTTTAGCTTCAAGGTCTTTGATTCAAGAAAACATCAACTTCAAGTCATTCCCCAAGAAAATTGAAATCTGAAACACGCTACATGGCTTTTTTTCAGTGTATTTCAGCATCTTTCTTTGCAGGAAATTTTTAATCACTGGGAAAAATCCACAGGCTAGGAAATATCAAAGTAATTCATGTCAAAATAAAGCTAACTTAAAATAATTTATTTTATGTAAAAATGGGATTCTGTAGATCTTTCAGAAGAATTCTTCTGAAGTCTCATTTCTAGAAGAGAAAGCCCTCAAATTGATAGAAATAAGGCTTATTTAAAGAGATCAAAGATGACACACTGAGACTACTTTCAGACAACTATTCATGCAAATCTCASTGAAATTACTGATTCCTTAAACTATCCTGACATGMTTAAAATTTGGCCAAAACTTGGTAKATTAAACCAGCTATTTGAGTTTATGACCTCCTTCTCACTGCACTGCTAGRGTGTCACTGCTACTTTACTGAGAGAAAAGTACTACTCATAGAATCAAAGAATATGCTGATTTGGAAGGGACCCATCAGGACCACTGAGCCCAACTGCTGGCCCTGCACAGGACCATCCCCAAGAGTCACACCATGTGCCTGAGAGTGTTGTCTGAATGCTTCTCGAACTCTGTCAGGCTTGGTGCTGTGGCCACTTCCCTGGGGACCCTGACCCACTGCCCAAAAACACTCCGGGTGAAAAACCTTTTTGTAACATGCAATCTAAACCTTCCCAACACAAGTTCAAGCCACTCCCTTGGGTCTTGTCACTGGGGTCACAAGCATGAAGAGATTTGTACCCACCCTTTTTCTTCCCCTAATGAGGAAATTGCAGATGGCAGCAAGGTCTCCCCTTAGTCTTCTCTTCTCTAGGCTGAACGAGTCTTTCATAATGGAGTCAATATTCCATGTCTAAATAACTAAGAGTATGAAAAAACTTCATTTATTAAGTAAAAATTAGAAAATTTTATTTTCAGAGGCACATAATTTTTTCTTTCGTAAAACATACTTTTCAACAAACAGCARACTTCAGCTGATGAGAAAATATAATCAGTCTGGAAAAAAGACATTAYGATTTTGCAAAATATGACAGAATTAGATCGTCCCTTGTGCCTGTTAAAGCAGTGTTGAAATAGTGAAATACTATCAAACTCTAAAGAAGTACCAAAATGAAGCGTCAAACCCTGATATTTTTAGGCTGGACTAGCTCTGTTTGCCTTTACAAGATGCTCAGGCCATGCTTTCTTTACTTACATTCCTAACTCATTTAAATGTCAAGACTTTTCTGGCTTTCATCCTAAAGAGGGAGTGGAAGTGTAAGCTTGGTTAAGCTGGAAGAAGGGTTGAAAATAGCTCTTAACATGATACAGGCAGGATGAGGGGTGGGGAGGAACATGCACCTTCAGAACAGAAGTAACAAAACATGGCCCTCTCAGGACTAKACTCATGGAAATTTTCTGAACGCCATTGGAAACGTAATGTGACACTATTTTTCATCAAAAAAAAAAAAAAAGCTACAATTTTTCATATTGAGCAGTAATTTTGTATGCAAACAGAAGGTATTTTTGCTGTTCTTTACTGAGCTATCAAAGATTTATACCAATTCAGGTACTTCAAGGACTTGTCTGGCAAAAAGATAACTGTGGTAAGGATGTCAGCTTGTGCATGAAGGGAATATTGAGGAAAACAGACCAGCTGAATTCCACTGGACAGATTGCAGACTGTRATCTAGGAAAGGAAAGCATCTGAAAGTGTATATATAAAGTCCTCAGTACATTTGGTGAAAATCATTAATGCTAAATGCTATATAAACCCAGAATCCTTTGGCATTAGTAAAGCTTTACTTTGTCAAACAAAAGACTTGATAATATTTCAGGTTCTGTGAGGGATAATCTCTGTAATWAATAGAAAAAATTTTGTATGGAAGTCTGAATTTCCAACATTTTCTTCTAGCAACATAGTAAGCAATGAGCTCAGAAAGTATAGTTCTGCTTGTTTTTATTAGAATAATTTTGATTTTCTGCCCATGGTGCCAAATCTAGAAGTCCTATTCAAAATTCCATTCAAAATATTCTCTTCTAAGATATCAGAAAACTGACCTACATGTTCTCATAGTGGAATCCCTTCTGTATCAGAATATCTGATTTTGTCAGTAGATTTTCATCCAGCTAACATTTCAACTTTTGTTTGAAGGCCAGTACTGTTTTTACAGCAGCCAAACAAAGTGATTCACTATGGTTATCCATAGCCTGGTAAGCAACAGCATTGCTCCTAATGTCCCTCACCTTGACCTTTCAGACTCAGGAAAGTGATATGGTCGGAGTATGTTCTTGGTCTTCAATCTTAGAAAAAACTGCCACCAGAGGAAACAATAATTACAACTTGTCATGTTCTCTTTTACAGTGGTTATTTGTTCACATGGAAATGAATTGAAATCTAATGTTTCACTTAAAGAAGGGCAGTAGATATACAGATTGGACAAGGCATTTAACTCCTGCCTAGTACTGGAGACTGGAACCAGACAGCCTAGAACTTCGGGAAGTGCATAAATTTGCACTTTTCCTTGTATTTTCCAGTCATTCCCTAATTTCTTGTGGTACTTTAATCATGTTTGAGAAATTTGGATTAAAAATTCCTAAGCATTACCAAATAGCAAGAGCTAAGTTCTGCGCTATGTGGAATCAATTAAAACAGCAGGCTGTTAATAATAATGTYTTTCCTCTTTATTGGAKGCAAACYCAAACAAGGTTAATTAAATAGGGGYTTTATGTAACATCCTTCCCACATRAGGAAAACAGAATTGTCTGARGTCTTGCAGAAGACATGTGCTCTATGCACAGAGAATTTCTGTACAGGGTAAAGCTGCCATATCAACCTCATTGCTACCAATTTGTTTCTCTGCCTGCTGCCATCTATTCCTACTGATGGAAGAGGCTGAACACAGCCATTACTGTCAACTCTAATCTCTAGATATTTCAGCCCTCTGCTCATTACTGGGTTTTGCTCATTTACCATCCTACAGCAGTTACATWTTTGAGCAATCAGAAGCAGTTTCGAAAGACAAAGAAAAATGTATCTTTTTGATAACAAAAATTTATTGTAAATTAGGAAAGGTACAAAATGGAATAAGGATTTCTGGAATTTGCRTTCTATGACCTGATAGAATTTATAYCACACTGCATTAGATAGGGGCAGTCCAAACATTTCCCAGAATTAAAAAAGTATGCAAATTGTTGCACACATGTGCTTATGGGTGTTAGCAGAGAGTACGAAACAGAGACGATAAGTAACTTCTTGTCATGTTTAGCCTGAAGAAAAGGAGGCTGAGGAGGACTTTATTGCCCTCTACAGTTACCTGAAAGGAGACTGTGATGAGGTGGGGATTGGCACTCCTCTCTCAGGTAAAGGTAGTAAGTGACAGGATGAGAGGACATGAYCAAGTTGCACCAGGGGAGATTTAGATCAGATGTTAGGAAATAYTTCTTCACTGAAAGAGTGATCAGGAATTGGAACAGGCTGCCCAAGGAAGTGGTGGAATCACCAAACCTGGAAGAGTTCAAARGGAGTGTGGATGTGGCRCTTGGGATATGGTTTAGTGCTGAACACAGCAGTGCTGAGTTAATGGTGGGACTCGGCAATATTTTGAGGTCTTTCCAACCTTAACAATTCTATGAACTCCTCTATTTAATTTTATTTTAGAAAAGGGAGATAGCAATCGTTTTGGAAAATGTGAGCCTCTTAATGTTCCTGAATACCAATTTCTACTAAAAAAAGATTGTAATAAGTCATGAGATAGCCAGATACTTTTTACTGGTTTATTCCATTAAGGTATTCTGTACCTTTCCTTGTTTACAAGAAGCATTCCAATGCAAGAATTCCTAGGATAAACAAAAAAATATTTCATGACA